TCCTATGATAAGGTTATTTTATTACTTGGTAAAACTTATTTAATTTTCAGAAACATAATGAACGCTACAGAATTAAATATTTTTGAGTTTAAAATTCAAAATTTCTAGAATTAACTGGAATGAATCTGGATTAATTTTTTCCAGCGAGCAATTCAATATTTTAGAGTTCTGGCTTTAGGGAAACAATGAAACTAAAATAAATTTAAATACATTTGATGGTACCGAATTACTTTAATAAAGGCAAAATATAGACTGTGTAAACTTAATCACCTCATTGTGTATCAACAGTTACGAATACGTGTATTAAAATACGAATTCTTCAGTAATTAATCCATTATGAAAATGACAGTCAAAAGAATTTGGAGATTCGCCAGTGAGAAAGGTGGCTACATGGATATTTGTAGCGGCCCGCAATATCTTTCAGAGCAGCATGTGCCCATGTGCCCATGGGACGGTGGCTGTGAGGAATGTAAATGCCAACATCAGTGCTGTGAAATTGCTAAGGCTCTTGCAAACATTTTAACAAACTTGTCTTCGGAATTTCTTGTAAGAAATAAATGTCGCACTTTATTACAGCTGTGCATTACCAGCCACGATAAATACAAAATTCACACTTGAAGATCGTAAGAATCAATCAGTGACCATTGAATTTACCTCATATTCTAATCTCCTCCCTATACGACTCTGATGTAATATCGTGCGATGTAAAAACATGCAGAAGGAAAATCTTTTCTTTCTTTTTCTTGCAATCTTTTACACAATAAATTCTGTTGGCTCGCGGGGACACGTCTGTAGTGTTTAATTACTAACAGCCGAGTATCTGGGAGTTTAGAAAACTTGTTGGGCCACAGGCAGCTTCTCATTCCTCTTCCCATGCCTTCAACCCCTCATATATGACTGGTGAATTCTGTTTAGGCTCTTTTAATTATGAGTCCTCACCCGTTAGACAACACATCTGATCGAATGGCATCTGAAAACTTTAAGATTTCTGTCTTCTGGGTTGTTGCGATATGTAGTCTGGTCGATGTTTACCGACGTTTCAGAGGTCATACTGCCTCCATCATCAGGGCGATGAGTATGAAGATGTCTGTCTTCTGGGTTGTTGCGATATGTAGTCTGGTCGATGTTTACCGACGTTTCAGAGGTCATACTGCCTCCATCATCAGGGCGATGAGTATGAAGATGTCTGTCTTCTGGGTTGTTGCGATATGTAGTCTGGTCGATGTTTACCGACGTTTCAGAGGTCATACTGCCTCCATCATCAGGGCGATGAGTATGAAGATGTCTGTCTTCTGGGTTGTTGCGATATGTAGTCTGGTCGATGTTTACCGACGTTTCAGAGGTCATACTGCCTCCATCATCAGGGCGATGAGTATGAAGATGTCTGTCTTCTGGGTTGTTGCGATATGTAGTCTGGTCGATGTTTACCGACGTTTCAGAGGTCATACTGCCTCCATCATCAGGGCGATGAGTATGAAGATGTCTGTCTTCTGGGTTGTTGCGATATGTAGTCTGGTCGATGTTTACCGACGTTTCAGAGGTCATACTGCCTCCATCATCAGGGCGATGAGTATGAAGATTTCTGACTTCTGGGTTGTTGCGCTGTCGCCCTGATGACGGAGGCAGTATGACCTCCGAAACGTTGGTTAACATCGACCAGATTACACAGCGCAACAACCCAGATGACAGAAATCTTCAAACTCGCCGCTGTGAAAACCTCAAATCTTTCATCTGAAAACTTTCGTCATTTTTAGACACATGGTACCACGCACTTACCCCTTTGAGCCATTATTTCTCCAACAAACATGACGGGGTTAAAATAAATAGCAGATCACGACCCATGCGTGCTTTTTTTTTAATTCTGTCACGTTTTGCCCAAACTCGAAACTGTAACTTGAAACTTTTTAGTTCTTTCAAACTCCAATGTGAAGTAACTGGCTTTGAAGCCGGTAACTTTTACATTATGGCCTTTGCAAGTGTTTGAAACCCAAAGCTCTCTCGCTGCCTGAATTATCTACCAGCAACCAAGATTGTTAAATAACAATTTTTCGAGCCACGTGTTCTCTGTTATTTGGAATCTGGACTACTTCGTTGCTGTATAGGGGTTACATTTGCCCAGTAAAGAGCAAATTAAATTACATCCGACATCTGGTATAAAATCTAGTATTCAGTTTGAAGGAAACACATTTGGTATTTCCAAGAATTCCTCGGTTTTCCACATTACGCTTTCATTTTATTCACGTCGTTCAAACATAAAACAAATTACTTCACGTGAAACAGTGATGACGCAGCGGCTGAATGAGAGACGGGCGCTGTGTGCTGTGTCAAAATGGCAAAGCACGATACGAAACGAATCTACTTATTTTTAAAGCTCGATGAAATCGTATGCTCATACACTGACGGACGTGTCTCTTAAGACGACGCTGAATTCTGTGATGAATATTAATTCTGCCATTCTACCGACTGACTGACACAAAATCGGGGACATTTTGCCCCGGTTATGTTTCGAAGAAAATTTAAATTCGGATTGGTGCAACAAGAAACTTAAGTCAATTAAACTTTTAGGAATGCTTGCAGTTATTCCGTCCGGAATATTTTTTCCCCGTTGCAGTTATTCCGTCCGGAATATTTTTCCTCCCCATTTGGTGCGTAAATCATAAAAATAAATACGCTAAACTTTAATTTGAATTAAGTTTATGAAACTTGAGACTTTCAACCAGAAAATGGAATTAGAATAGGGGAGACAAGAAACGCGCACAAAGTTTTGGATGGAATGCTTAAAAAAAGAAATACCTCTCGGGAGGTGGCTTAAACGGGTGGGTAATTTCAAAATAAATCTTTCTCAGATAGAATCAGTAACATGGACTGAACTGGCTCAATATAGGACTAGTGGCGGGCTCTGGTAAACAATTTAATGAACCTTTGAGTTATACAAAAAGACGGTAAATATCTTGACCAGCTGACGTACTGTCAGATTCTCAAGGATAATTTTACTTCGAGGAGTTGTGTGGTTTGTAATTTTAATCGGCTTGTAACTTTAGACTTTTTCCACCATTAGGCTTCAATATCTGAAGGGATGCAAGTTCATAATTAGAAAATAACTGTGATTGCCATTTGTAATAAATTGTAATTAATCCATCGTAAATGAAACAACGTCTTCAACGTGACGGGATTTTGACCCCGGGAACTTTGTTCTGGATTCCAAGCACGACCGCCTGTAACAACGTCTACCTCTGTTCTCTCCGCGGTTCGACTCAAAGTGTTTTTGGTTCGTTGAGTTTTTTTTTCTCGGGGAATTGTGTGTAAGGTTAACTTTGCTCTTTTCGTTTCTTTTTAGGAGTGTTTGACTAAAGCATCTCTTTTTCTTTAATCTTCTAAGAAACGTTTACAAATGACCTCAGCGTAATATATTTTACCTCAACCCAGTTGAGACAAAATAAATATAATATTATCTAACATACCATTTTAAATCATGATTTGAAATATTCCATTTCATGAGATTAATTCATATTTGGAACTGATATTTGTCCGTTCTCATTGTCTGTCAGCTTGCTTCATTGCCAAAATTGCTAAACGGATTTTGATTAAATTTGGTATTGTGTGTGAACTGCTACATGAACATGATTCTGGCCCCGTATTGGCGGAGTTTTAACACCTGTTTTTATACCGTTAATCAAATTTCATCGTCTACCTCAAAACCAACTTTTTAACGAACTAGATGGAAAACATACGCCTAACGTAACAATGCTAGTGATTTCGTATTTGATTTGTTCATGAAAATCCGCCATTCCGAAATCGCAGGAGGGTCGGTGTAATGCACTACCAAAACGCCCGTAACTAAGAAACAAATGCTAATTCGATGATGCCGGCTGGCACACTGATTCACTATGAATGTAGGCCGCACCCCCTAGCGGCAGAAGCTCGTACTACATCCGGTTCGCCCTCTATTGACACAGTCTTGAAACTTTCCGATCGCACCTCGTAGAATTTCAGTTCACGAAAGCTCTCATGTAAATGGTTACGGCAGGCTGGTGATTCCGTGAAACACGACATTGAACTTTTGTGAATGGTGCAAGTGACGTCATATTTGTCTGAATTAAAGACCTTTGCATGAGTTTGCCTGGTGCCTCACTGTCTGCATTAATATGTCATCAAGAGAGATTCTATCAACGTGGTTATGCGAGAAATACTACAGATGTCTGTCTGTCTGTCTGTCTGTGTTGGAATAGCCCCTCCCATACTGGTTCAGTTTCACTATCTCACGTAGGAAGACACGTAGTTTCAAATGAATTTCCGGTTGGTGTCCGAATGTAACCATAGTTGGAACGTGTCTTTAAATTTTGATGAATCTCCTCATTACTAATTATTATGATATTACGCGGTTCCTAGTTGTTACGTGCCGGACAGATTGACAGAATGCAGGCATGGCTCAACTAATATACGCGTTTATTCAATTTAATTTCGAACTTAACAGTTCTGCTCCTATATTCAGACATTTTTGAACAGGAAATACAACACGCAATATGTCCATGTGGTTACAGACGTCCTGACTTTTGTGGACGATATTGTTTCCCAATTGGTAATTAATGAGCATAATTTCATACTATTCCTTGCTATTTTTCATTTATGAGACAAGTTGTTATGATACACGCAATTAAGGCGTTAAACATGATGTCAAATATAGCAGTGGAAAAACAAATTGCGTACCATTTTAATGTGTACTTTGCATAACTTAAAAAACTCACACACATTTTTGTGCGTTAAAGGTTTACAAAAAATATATTACGTACTATTGAAACCTCATGTGAAGCAGTTATATATTTGACAAAAGGAAACAAAAATTAGACTTAACCTACAACGTATTTGATCATACTTCAGCAGTGTGAACAGCTTTGCAGAAGCAGGCTGTTATAATAAAACCTGAATTGAGTTGCGACCACGATTTCGTTTGTAGCGTCTTCGGGTTTTAACCACAACATTCGCTATCAGATTGAGTTCAGTTCAGTGTTCAGCAGCAGTGGGACGAAGATGGTTGTTATGTTGATAAGTTGATAAGAATACGGATATCTGTGCAATAATAGATTTTTAACAGGATCAACTAACATCATATCCAGTAAGGTATGTAACATAGCAAAGAACACGTTTTAAAAAACAAGTGTATTGCAATTTATAACACACCTTTTCATTCCTTCTTAATAGAAATATGTCTAAAACTCAACGTACTAAGTTCAAATAAACTGGTATAAGTGTTTGAATTATTAAGTGCTTCGACATGTATAACAAATTCCTCTATTTTTACATTCTTCTAATAGAATGTAATATATCTTCACAAGCAAATATTCTCTCAGCGAGTCAAGAGGTTCCTTACGTTTTATATAACCTAAAATTCATTACAAGAGCCCACCATGAACCCTATCATAAAATAAGACGTATCCAGCCCACATCATTCAACTGTTTGTAGGAATCTCTTATGTTCCCTTCCAACCGGGGTTTTCAACAACAGTTTTTATGTTATTTATGGGAATCGTATGTCATAAACACATGTACGGTCGGTGCATATACTTTCTGTGCTGTATAGAATGACCTCGTCGTAACAATTTACGAAAGGGGAATCATTACCTAATACAGACATATCACTAGAGCAGACTTGAGTTTCCTACGAACACTGAAATGTGCACATTCTTTAACAAGTAATACGAAATATATTTCATTAAACGCGTCTGTTATATTTACTTAAATAATATTTCGCATGAAAAATTAATGTATTCGTTTATAATTTCATCGACGCTATATAGTCTGAGCTACTGAAAAAACTTTGTTAAATAAATTTTAAATAAATGTATCATTTCTACCCATTTTATATCACCAGTTACATTTTCATGGAATACACATTCTTTATATAGTTTATTCGATTGTATTGTGTACACACCATATTTGACATGACATGAATTCTGAAATTGTGTTTAAAATTCGTCGTGAGTGATCCGTTAATACTCCTTAACCACTAGTAATTTCACAACCTGTCACACTCCACTTTTCATCCGTAATTTGTCGATTTATTTTCCCGAAGTTTACACTCTTTGACACTTTCAGTTTTATGTTTACAACCGAAACCCCTACAACGCACTGTTGCAAACTGTTCAGTAGCATTTGAGGTTTTCAAGGCGGTGAGTCTGAAGATGGCTGTCTTATAGTTTGTTGCGTAATGTAGTCTGGTAGAAGTTTACCTACTTTTCAGAGGTATTTTCTGCCTCCATCATCGGGGGTACTCATCGCCCTGATGATGGAGGTAACCATGTCGGCGAATTACAACCGGACTACACGGCCCAACAACCCAGAAGACAGCCATCTTCAAGTTTGTTAAGTCTTTTAGACAGATCTATTTCAACAATCTGATCTACAGTAAATGTTTTCCGGTGTCTATACTCATAAATTTTATTGCGTACAAACTGTTCACACTTGCTTGTAGTGAGTTACATGAAGGTGAACTTTAATGCAGTCTAATTATTCCACGTACTCAATATTAACGAGAATTACGATTATTACAATTTGTACTCTGAGGAATATTTGTTGTCCGATACGTAGCGAAATGAAATTCACCTACTATCCTCACTACACGCCTTGAAAGCGCTTCGGGGAGGAGAGATGGGATGGTTAGATGTTAGATCGCAGATGGTGCTTGACAGGCTGACAAAGAAAGATTTCCCGGGATGCTTCCAGGCTTGGCAGCGGCGCTGGGATCGTTGTGTTCACTCCCAGGGGAACTACTTCGAGGGTGATGGATGAATTTAATACCTGAGATAAGTGTACGGGTTTTTATAGGCGCAGTCTGGAAACTTTCCGATCGCACCTCGTATTTCAGTTTTGACAGAATGCACTCGGAATCTTTTTCACCACCTTGTACTCATTTCAAAACACAAGTCTTCAAGCGGTAATTCATTTCTGTCCAAATCCTTTCTAGAGCTACTATTGTAGGAACAAGTTCATATGGACTTACTTCATCATATAAACTCTTAAATATATTTGTAATTATTAGCATACTTTTAGAAGCACGAGTTTCTCGGGGCTGTCAAGACGTCTTTTATTAATATTATTTCACACTTCTCATTTCCCGTTATTTTGCTGCGAAGCGAAAAGATACGGTCTGAAATAATAGCATGTAATTATAAACGGAAGAAGATGGATTTTCTTTGGCGTTTGTAAGAAGTGTTGTACCAGCATTTCCAGTCGTCCTAATGGGATTCGAAGACCACAGCTAAAATGGATCAAACGAAGTAAATGAATTGTATGAAATGAGGTTTAGGAGAAATAATATTTGCCTCATCCTTTCGCAGTGCACCCTTTTCTCATGAAAGGATGTATGAACGTGTAAATAACGATGTAATAATTCGATTTAAAATAGATTCCGTCTCAAAGGGACTGGTTCATTATGGAATAATTATACAGCATCTTGTGTGTTGGAAATTATGTAGAAATACAGTGTTTAAATTTTTAATTGGTTGAACAGCATTCCTTCCCAGAGAGTACCAAAACATACAGGTTTGATTAACATGTCACTACTGCCTAAATATTGAGATGATACAGATTTGAAATGAAATTAGCCTCAAGATGGCTGTCTTCTGGGTTGCTTTGCCATTTAGTCTGGTAAAACTTTACCGACGTTTCAGAGGTCCTTGCTGCCTGCAGCATCACGGCGTTCATCGCAACAATCCACAAGACAGCCATCTTGATTTTGGATGTAACTAATCCGAAGATTATGGAAGTAGAATAATAGAAATTTTCTAATGAAATTGGCGGTCCTTTCAATAACGTAACTTCTAAAAATAAAGAAAACTGTGTCGTTTTACGCCATGTAGGCGCTTGGGGGGAGAGGATATTTAGTTCCTACTTGTTCTTAACCTCGGCACTAAATAGGGGTGAGTGGTCACCGGGAAAGGACCCCGGTACCCATTGGATAGGAGGCTGGGTGGACCCTAGAGGTTGGATGAAAAATCCCCTGCTTGCATTTAAAAATAAAATAAATATGAAGTAGAGTAGATTCAGGTGGCTTACAATAGGACAATAATTCTTCTCATTCCACAGAAAGCTGAAATTTGAACAGCTGCACAACTGTAAAATTCTCTTGGTGGGCTCTGCTCCATGGAGTTACTTAATAATTAAGTTCGATAGCAATTTCTTGAAAAGTTTTGTTGTAATGAGGAGGTGTGGTTATAATTAAATTCGATTAACAGCCTTTAGTGTCGACGTCAACAATTCTCGATTCCATATCAGTTCGTTGATTAGTATCGAAAGAAATACGCGACCTCCAGCTTTGTGTCTCATGTTCCTTTATTTGCAACATGTTTGCTTTGTGGGTGGTCTGTGATGTACTGGGATACTGAGAACGACCCGTTCTTCAAGTGTCTGAGCACTGCGGGTCCCAACTTTTCGTTGGCTCGATCTATAGACATTTTGGTAGGACTCCTTGGACGAGGGATCGGCCCGTCGCAAGGCCTCTACCTGTACACAGGACAGAAAAACATCCATGGCTTGAGTGGGATTCGAACCCACGGTCCCAGCGACCAAGGGGCAGAAGGCCCACGCCTCAGACCGCGCGGCCACTGCAGACCCCAGTCTGTGATATTTCCAGTCAAATAAGGTAATAAAATATTCATAACTGGGCGAAACAAACGCTTTCGGAATACTCTGGAGTGAGTTTACGAGTGCAGGTGTTTTGTACGAGTACCACCAGCTGTCAAATGTAGGCTGTTTCGCTGTTTGTAGCAGTGTCATAGTGAAAGTATACAAGGACGTACGGATCGCGATGACAGATACCACGCGCTGTAGGCTATGAGCGCGTCCCGGTAATCCGCATTAATGTTGGCCCGACACAGATAAATATTACATCAGCGATGGAACGCTAAAAGCATTGGACGTAACAAATGGGCTCCTCTTGTGACACAAAATAGCGTAAAATGTCTCTTCAGGTGCCTCTCCGACATGTTTTAAAGTTTGCCGCGCATTTGTTCTGTATCCCCGTGCACTTATTAGATTCAAAATCTCTTATGCAGAAGTTTGCATTCCTCTTTCTTTGATTATTTATTTGTACACGTCTCTGTCTCTTTCCTCCGCTTTCTCCCTTCAAATTACGGGCATGTATCTTTATGTGTGTATGCATGTTTGCTTAGAGCTCAGGAAGGGATAAAATCATTAACACCAAACTTTGTTTGCTTATTTCTTGAGAGTGGAAACAGAATGTCGGAAGGTTGAACCTCCGGAAGAGTGCCCTGAATTTAATTCCCGATGAAGGCACCAAGACTGAAGTTCTGTGTTTCTGGCGGGAGATTACAGAAATAAAGACCATAGCCTAGCTGCTGTGGGTTTGAGTCCCGAGGAAGAACATTTCTGTAGCTTGGATACTAACCTCGATATAACGGGCCAAAAGAACAATATTATTTGTTTCGGCGAGAAGATTACGTGAACTAAGGTCATAAACCCAAAATTCTCCCGGGTTAGAGACTCTGTAAAATTTTGGGTTTGGGGATAATAAATATTTTTTGATATTCAATATTTGCTGGATATAGGCCGTAAAATTTTCAAAGTTATTCGAAAGTCGTTTTTTAAACGTATATTTCTGCCGATCTGCGAGAATCTGTAAGCCAATACTCATGTCACGTTTAGGTCACGGGTAGTCCTAGGTCATGCCAAGATCACGACAATGTCAGCTAAAGGGTTTGCCGAACAGAGACCATTAAATATTTCAAGGTCATCCGAGGACAATTTTTTTTCAGTGTAAGTGGCCTACGATAATGTGAAGGCAGCTGACACATAACACAGCACAAAATGGTCGCTTTTGTTTAAAACATTCGAACCAATCCTGGTGTTCCAGTGACTCAAGATCATACGATACTGTGGTCAGCACGCTCGATCGATGTTACTCCGAATGTCCGATAGATTCGTTGACTGATATTGTAGTGATCTTTAAAAGTTGAAGGCGGCAAAGAAGGTACTGTCAGTAGGCAATTATATTAATGATGTAAAGTATACTGAAGTTAGGAACAGAAACGTCAGGAACACACATTTCAGCCATCTACATTCTTATTCAGCACAAATGAATCATCAGAGTTCATAAATGGATG